GGCTTCGAGCCCTTTCGAGCGGCTGACAGAATACTTTCTGTGAGTAAACCTGCTTCAGCAGACACTTTGTCAACAACAGAAGCAAGATACAATACTCGTAGCTTCTCAAGACTTCAAACAACCTGCCACGTGTCATCTGACTGCAGTTGACGGACCAAACCGCCTTTAGGAACAGTCAGTACGACAGAGAAATCCTTTAACATAGGCAAAGGCACAGGCATGCTATCACGAATCAAAATACATGCTGACGTGGCAGTAGGATTACCATCAAACGCAGAATGGAAGTGCCGAACACGTTCTGTCAAATGTTTGACTGAACTGGCACTTAATCACACATGCTTGCCTGACATCGAAGATGACAGGAAGTCTGAGTTAGGACATACATCTGTGGAAATAGAATCTTCAGAACGACGAACTCCCATATCAAAGATACGACTAGTAATGTTTGATATGTCCAGGAAGTCTTGTTCTGACAGATCTAACACAGATCAACACTAGACAACAGTCCCGGGCCTGCACTGCCTAGCGTTTCTGAAAATCCTTCCTCCCCTTCTTCTGCTTTTTCCTATTATTGCTACCATTCTGAGACTCCTCAGTACAGTCTGCCGCAATATGGTCTGGCTTCCCGCAGTTGCGGCACAGGCGGTTCGCCATGTTGTGAGCATACTGCTCGTCCGTAAGGGCAGCAGACAGCCGCGCCTTAGACGTCCTCCCGGAGCCACTTCCGGACGCCTTACGTTTGCCAGCCACCGACTTGGTGGACTGGGCAGGCTTACGCTTCAAGCGTTCCTCGATCATGGGCCACTGCAAAGTAGCATACTGCATAAGATCACAAAGAGCATTTCAACGAGTTCCGTTGGGAGACGTTCTGCACAACTCCTTCCGATCCACTTGGAGACCAGACTGATACTTCTCGATCTTGATCTGCTCGTCTGTAATCTCAGCGGGAAGGTTAGTAGCAGCTTGCTCGAAAGCAACGTTGTACTCATCCACACTTGTGGATCCCTGCTTGAGATTATTCCAGGTGTCCCAATAAGACTGAATGAAAGTCCTCAGACCATACCCACGAGTCATGGTTTCCCTGAAAAACTGACGAGCATTCTGAGGATACAATCCTAGGTTCGCACGTTGATACACAGCATACTGGGAAGACCAATACGATCTTGGCTTCCCATTCAGATACGAAGACGCCAGACACAAATACTCAGCGTTAGGCGTGTTCCGAAGATACTCTTCGATCTGATCGAACCACTCCAGAATGGATGGGTTGCTCGCCTTATTCTCCCACTTGGAAGGAGGCGAGGCCTTTACCTGCCCTGCAGCAGCTGCAACGGCAGCAGCCTGAGCAGCAGCAGCAACCTGAGCTTGCTGTTGTGCCTGTGCAGCCGTGGCCTGAGCTTGCTGCAACTGACCCTGCATTGCTGTCAGATTGGCGTGGTTGCGATTATCACGCTTCAGCAACACAGAGATCCTTATGGCGTCACTGCCATGTGTCAGGGCCTGCGTCTCAGCCGCAATCCTGGCAGGATCTGTCTGAAGACCATTATAGTACTGGTCAAATTGGGCCACCGTCATAGCCGCAAAGTTCGGCAAGTTGGCCGCCATAGCTGAAGATTCCCCTGAATCAACAGACTGACTCCTCACCTCCCGACCGACAGGAGTGATGCACACAGACTGAGAGCTACCCCCAACAACCTGACAATAGGAAGGAGGCGTGTCACTCTCAGATGGCAGATCGGGAACACTTTCCCAATCCTCAAAAATCGCACTCTCCTCTTTGCCAGAGATCTTCTCCTTCCCCTTGCGTGAAGGCTCAAAGATTGCGGCCTCAGGACAGAGAGCACTCGTGGAAGCCTTCGCAGATGCTTCCTCCTCAGAGTCTTCGCCAATCGCCAACTCAGAGATCGTAAAACACAGATCCGTTATCCGGTCAAGAGACGAAGCGATGCGCTCCTTCTTCGACATGGACCCAACTCCAATCTCGCAAGAGATCAGAACACAAGCCTTTGATACCACTGTAACGGTTGGCCAGCTATATGCGAAAAGCTGGCAGGATAACTACACACGTTCAGCAACCATGTGCGGAAACCATGGAAGCAGGCATTCTCAAGCGATGGCGCAGCTCAGAACAATTGTCGTCTTTCTGCCCAAGACAACTTCTGTCCTCTCGTTGGACAAGTCCCTCAGGACATCCTTCAAGATTTCAGAGTCTTGTTTCTGCCTTGCGTTCAGTCAGTCACGAATCGTAGAGAGGCAGACTTGGGCACTGCCCATGGCTGCATCTAGTCATCACAATGACGTCCTTCCAGCATGGCAAAGAGCATACTTCTGACTTCAAAGTAGAGCGTCTTGCGCCATGCCAAGCAATCCTGGTCATGGAAAAGACATGCTAGTCTAGTAGCTCTACTTATACTACTGTCGACATATCCAATAATAATTATTATCGAACATTACTTCGACAGCTGCCACGTGTCACT